TCAAGATCATGTGATCTCGTCAAAAGGATAAAGAAGTACATCCGACAATACCCCCTTCCGAGATTATTGGTCGTCCTCGATCCAATCGTGTTTGGCGGTAGGGCGAGAAAAAGATGGTTGATGACGATTATCGGCACGACTTGCAGTGGGATCATACCATGGTTGAGAAGGCTTTGAAGATGTGTTGACAGGCTTGAGGCGATCAGTGTGCACCCACGAATCATATGGCTTGTTCCACATATCAACCAATTTGTAGGTATCAGTGTCATGGTTACAAGCAACCACTCGATAGGGTCCCTTCCAATTCAGTTCCAGGTTGACACGATTTTCATGCCGCATTAGCACTAAGTCGCCAACTTTGTATACATGATGTTGCATATGGAAATCCCAGCGATCCTTATCAGCTTGACGATCTTTCGATGTACGGTCCTTGGCAATGGCACGAGCGTCACGTAAACGTTGAAGTGATGGCAAACGAGCTTCTTTGAGAGATTGTGAGCTTGTGTCGGAGAGGTCACGAACAATAAACGGCTTCAGAGGATCACCAGGGAGCACTGGATCTTGGCCATACACCATGTAGAAGGGGCTCATATCAGTTGTGCGATGTTTGCGGATTCGAGCGGCAAAAAGAGCAGTATCCAGATATTGGTCCCAGTGATTAACAGCACCATTGACATATTTACGAAGCATCTGTTTCAATATGCCGTTGGTTCTTTCGCATTTGCCATTCGAACGTGGATGATAAGCGGAGGTAAGGACATGTCGAAGCTTTATGCGAGCGATATAATTGGCGAGAACCTTGGACTGAAAGTTTGCACCACGATCAGTAACAATCTCGTGTGGGCATCCAAAACGCATCACAATTTCCTCATAAAGGAAATTAGCAATGGCTTCTCCAGTAGCTTCAGGGACAGCTCTTGCGATTGGCCAACTTGTTGCATAATCCACTGCCACTAAGATCCAGCGATTGCCTTTTGGTGTTGTGGGAAGCTCGCCAATGAAATCCAGGTGCCATCGTGAGAATGGTGGTGGTACATCAGTCAGGTGCATGGGCGCATGATGCACGTCACGGTTGGCGTTTTGAGCAAGCTGACATTGAGGACACGAAGCAACCCACTCTTTTATGTCTTGTTCCATGTTCGGCCACCAGTAATGACGTTTGACCAAGTGAACAATATTCTTGCCAGCAGCATGTCCAAAACCACGATGGAAAGAGTCCACCAAATCGGCACGAACAGCAAAACGAGCAAAACGCACTTCACGAGTTGTGTCGCCATCCTTCATCAGCCTGAATACCATGTTGTCACGGACGACAAACTTGTTCTTGTGCTTGTTCAACAAATCGCGCAACATTTCAGGGCGCCGTTCCTCAGGGAATGCATAGAACTTGGGCCAGTCTGATTCTTGAACCGAAGTCACCGTGTAAAGGTAAGCTGGCTCCATATCGGCACTTGTACTTGTACATTGAGGGCCATCGCGTCTTGATAGGATATCTGGGACATGATTTTCCTTGCCTGGTTTGTAACGGATCTCAGGGTCGTAAAGCTCAAGCTCAGCTATCCATCTTGTAAGCCTTGTTGTGGGTTTGGATTGTGTTCGGAAGTAGCGCAAAGGATGATGATCAGTGTATACCACATAGGGACGACCATCGATGAAGCAACGCCATGTTCGTAGTGCATGAAGAATTCCAAGCAATTCCCGCTCTTGTGCAGGATACGACCTCTCCGCTGGTGACAACTTTTTCGATTCGAATGCCACAGGATGCATCAACCCATCATCACCTTCTTGAGAAAGGACTGCACCCACTCCAAAATCACACGCATCGGTTTCCACAACAAATGGCTTATCCGGATTGGGAGCAATGAGAATAGGAGCTGACGACATGCACCGCTTGATGTGATCAAAAGCTTCTTGACAACGATCGCTCCATTCAATGGCACGCAACTTATGCCCCGTACCTTGAGTGAGATCAGTTAAAGGAGCTGCGATACTTGCGAAGCTCTTGATGAAGCGCCGATAATGTGATGCAAGTCCAACAAATTGTCGCACCTCTCGAACATTCGTTGGCACAGGCCATGATTGGATTGCAGCCACCTTGGATTTGGAAGGTAAGATGCCTTGATCACTGACATGGAAGCCAATAAATTCTAACTCCCGCTTGTTGAATTCACACTTCTTCAAATTTGCATACAACTGGGCCTTGCGCAAACATTCCAATACTTGTCGAACGTGCTTGATATGCTCTTCTTGTGTGCGACTAAAAACGAGAATGTCATCAAGGTAGACTAAAGCAAACTTATCAAGATACTCGCCTAGGATGGAGTTCATCAAACGCTGAAATGTTGGAGGTGCATTCGTGAGACCAAAGGGTAAGACCAGGAACTCGTATGATCCATAACGAGTATTAAAGGCAGTCTTAGGGACATCCTCCTCTCGGATTCGCACCTGATGGTAGCCACTCTTGAGATCGATACTTGTGAAGAAACGGGCACCACGCAATCGTTCCAGACATTCATCGATTCTTGGTAAAGGATGGCCATTACGTTTGGTCACTTGATTAATGGCTCGATAATCAATGCATAGCCTCATGCTGCCATCTTTCTTCCTCACAAACAGAACCGGAGCTCCCCAAGGAGATGCACTTGGTCGCACCAATCCTAGGTCCAGCAATTCGCCAAGCTGTTTGCGTAATTCGTCAAGTTCTCGTGGACTCATTTTGAAAGGTGGTTTGTTGATGGGCGGTGCGTCACCAGTATCAATGACATGTTCCACTTGCCGTATTGGAGGAAGACCTGGGAGTGAATTTCGGAACACATCACCATATTCCTTGATCATTGCCTTGAATGCGTCGTTATCAACATCACCGTTTGAATTGCGAGTCGATGCAGTGAACAAGAGGAACATTTCAGAGATCTCTTTTCGCCGTGAGTAGCGTTGCACTTGACGCTGTGAGATCAAGTATGCTAACTCTGGGATGGGACGAACTTGACTAGGCTCCAAGATGAAGGTCTTGCCGTGATGTTTGATTTCCCAGCTATCATAACGCCAATGTGGAATCGGTTCTACAGCCTTGAACCAATCTTGACCAAGGATGAGATCGAATTTTGTATCCAGCACATATGCACGCCAAGGGATGACACAGCCATTGACAACACTCAACTCAAAGGAAGCACGGGCATAGATACCGATTGAATGACCACCAGCGGTTTCTACTTCTCTACCAACAACTTGTTCGGTTGTGACATGGGAACGAAGCCGAGGTGAGATGTAGGATGTGCTGGCTCCTGTATCTAATAAGACATTTACTAATTGCCCATTGCAAGACATTGAATAGAGGGGAAGATCGGTTTCCTTTATTGTGTTGAGTTTATCAATGCGGCGTATGTCATCCTCTAAGCTAGCGGCACCATCAATGGGATCTCGCAAATCAATGAGTGGCTCTTCCAAAGGTTCTTGCTGTTGTTGTTGTTCTTGCTTGTCACCGGGGACCATGGTACTTGCTTCTTGATGCTCCACAGGATCAACCACGTCAAGGGACTGGATATTGCGTGACGAGCGTCCCTTTAGACTCGCCACGCTTTGCCTTTTAAAGGCTGCACATTCTTGTCGCCACGACGTGGGGAAGGACATTGTCTTGCGATATGGCCGTAACCTTGACAATTATGACATTGGATTGTTCCTTGACGTCTTCCAGCACCACGATTGTTCCTTCGATTGTTGTATAATGCATCCAAATCCATGGGAGTAGGGCCATCAGCAGCGGATCTTGGTTCTTGATTGTTGCCATGGAAATTGTAACCACCGGTACGGTTGCTATGGCCAAATCCTTGGTTGTTGAATGATACATCCCGTACACCACGTGCACATTCGACTGCGGCTTCATAGGCTTCGGCTGCCAAATAGGCTTCCTTCAGAGTGGTAGGTGTCTTTAGAAATACTTGTAGTCGTGGCTCGTATTGCAATCCTTGAATAAATTGGTGCACAGCATCTTCTTCAAACATGTCTGGGAGGTCTAGCATGATGTTGCGGAACTCAATAATGTAATCACGAATGCTGTCTTGCTGCTTTAGTTTCTCCAAACGTTGTCTCGCCATCTGGGTAGCATTGCTTGGCCGAAATTCTTTACGAAAAAAGTCCTTGAAGTCGCTCCAGTCCTTGGGTGCTTCCGTTTCGCCAGTGTTCTCGTCAATTGATTTTTCAAGGTGTCGCCACCAGGTGGCAGCCGAATCCCTTAGCAAGGTTGATGCAAAAAGTACGCGTTCTTGATCATTGAGACGAGTGAGCTCGCAATACTTTTCGACAGTATGTAGCCATGCTTCAACTGCGCCTGTTGAACGTTCTCCTCGAAAGACATCCGGTTTCACGGCCTTGATGTTACTTGCTGTTGATCCAACTTCTTGTCTCTCTCTTCTCAAAAGGATCAGTTCCTCTTGCTGATTACGTAGCTGTTCCAATATCACTTGAATAATAGCAGGGTCACTCATGCCTTGACTTGTGGTGGTGCCAATAACAGTTGTTTCTTCTTCGTCTGATTCAGGGATGTCCGGTCTTGGTGTTCGATAGCTTCCTTGGTGGTGGATAGGATTCATCAGCTACCAATTGTCGTGATCAAGAATGGCTGCAAAGCAAAGGCCAAGACAACAAATGATAGAAGATGACTTTTTACAAGAGATAAAGATGATGATTTATTTTAGAATACAACATGTTCTTATATATGTGTGTGGATGTAGATTCTAGAAACGAAGGGAAAGGGAAAGTGTTGGAAGGCTGTGACCGTGTGTGATGTGTAAAGGAATGTTGAGGAAACATGGATGGAAATCATGTGATCTGCCAAAAGGTAAAGAGGTGTGTCCGAAAATGTGTCAAAAGGAATGTCATGGAATCATGGATCAAGATCATGTGATCTCGTCAAAAGGATAAAGAAGTACATCCGACATTTGCAAGGTAAAAAGAATCAACCTCCGTATTCGAACCCTTGACCTCACCCTTGTTAGACTAGTACCCTGACCGCTGTTCCATCAACTGAACAACTGGCATTTGTCAGCTCTCGTTTCCTAGTTGTCTGAGGTCGTGCCAAAAAGAGAAGTCGAGAAAATGTATAATAAATGTGCCTTCAAA